GGGAGGCAGAGGGCCAGCCCTGCCATTGTATGCACTTCAACATCCACCAGTGAGACAAAGAGTGGCAGAGGGGACTCACCCAGTGGGGCAGACAGCAGGTAGCCAGTATGGGCAGAGAGAGTCAGAAAATCTGCCTCCACATGCTGGGCACCATCACTGGAATGCCATTTCTTGTGAGAGACCAGCAGAAGTAGGGACACACGGTTAAGGTAAGCTCTGTGCCCATGTAGGCCACCACTGGTGGGCTTGATTCCTTCAGGCAGCCATGACCCACCAGTGGAATCAGAGACGTATACTCCTGTGTGCCTGCCACCATTGCAGGAATCCCAGTGTAGACATGCAGGCTGAGAGAAGCATCCCCATGCACTCCTGATTATCAGAGAAACCCCAGTGTAGCTGCACAGGTTTGGAGAAGCCCATTCCACGCTGTTACCTCCCTATAAATCTGTTACCTTCCTGTAAATAGAGGAACCCAGGTGCCTGTCCCATTTCCTTACACTGTGGAGGGGCAGCCAACATGGGAAGTGCCTGGGCCCCACAACCAGCTTGTTGGGAGGAACACAAGAGAATGATAAGATGAAGGAGCAAAAGGCAATCTTAGATCACTAGCCCACACAGAACTAGTCTGGGATATACAGTCATGGTAGGAAACGGAATTTACACACCTGAAATCTCTGAGAAGATGGCAAATGAAGTAAAAAAAAAACTTCACGAGATTGTAAATGCAGTCAAATCAGAAATAATGACTCATGTAAAAGAAGAAATCACAAACATACTGACAGAATTGTTCAGCATGTCTAAAGTAGGCACAGATATAAAAGAGGAGCATAGGAAAATGATGGAAGCCTTGAATGAATATGGGAGGGAATTACAATGCATGAAACAGATTCAAAGAGAGGTTCAGGAAATTAAAAAATCAATCAAAAGCTGGCAAAACTGCTTGAAAGAGATGGAAGATAGACTTTCAAACCTTGAATATAGGATTGCAGCTAGTGATCATGAAAGGAAAGATCTCTTAAAAATAATCAGTAAACCACAATTCAACAGCTGCAAGACGATGCAAAGAAGCATAATTTAAGAGTGATAGGCACTGATGAAGAAGCAGGGGTCAACACAAATGAAATTAAAAGGCTATTTACAGAACTAATAGAAGAAAACTTCCCACACATGGGAATTGGATCTGGCATGCTGATAAGTAAGGCATATAGAACTCCAATTAGCCATAATCAAAGTAAATCTACACCCAGACATATAATAATCAAGAGCCCAGGAATTCAACACAAGAACTGAATATTAAAAGCTGTTAGAAAAAAAAAACAGATCACCTATACAGGAAAATCAGTCAGAATCACAGCAGACTTATCAACACAAACCACTAAATCAAGAAGAGACTGGAGTGAAGTGTTTCAAATTCTGAAAGAAAATAACTTTCAACCCAGATTGATGTACCCTGCAAAACTATCTTTCAAAACTGATGGAAAAGCAAGATATTTCCGTGATAAAGAACAACTGAAGCAATTTATGATCATCAAACCAACCCTGCAAAGAGTGCTAAAGGATATCCTAGAGAGAGATGAAGATGACCATGGTTCCAGGAACAGCAGCAGAGGAAGATTGCCAAACAAGATAGACAACTGAATGAAGGGGAAAAGTTCAGGGCCAACAACACGAGGATAGCATAGCAGAGACAAACCAATGTATACTAGCTGTAACCATTAATGTAGAGGGACTCAATTCAGCAATAAAAAGAAACACAGAGAGAGTAGATGAAGAAACAAGATCAGTCGATATACTGTATATAAGAAACACATTTAACTGGAAAGGAAATTCATGGTCTGAAAATCAAAGGAGAGAAAATAATTGCTCTATGTGACAGAAGACCAGAAAAAAAGCAAGAGTAACTTGCCCACCAATCACAGAATGGATAAGAAAAATATGGTATTTCCATGCAGTGGAAAGCTACCCAGCTATAAAGTAGAATAATCTCAAGGCTTTTTGTAGGTAAATGGATGCAACTGAAGATCATGTTCGTGGGCAAAATAGTTTAAACTCATATGTATGAATCCTAGCATAAGAAACAGAGAGTGTTAGTGAGGTCCAACAACAAAATAGTTATTATGAGAGATAGAGGAAGAAACACCTGGGAGGTAGGGAAAGTAAAAATTACTGTTAATTTCTTATTGTTTTGTCTAATTCTTATATTGTTTTCACAATTTTGTTAGGTTTGACTTTGTTCTGTCTTGTTTTGTTAGATTTGGTGGGGACAGCTATTTTGAATATAATAGGATATATTATGATAATCATGGTTTCCTATTATAATGAAGTCTTTTGAAGTCTTATAATGCTTTCATTCATTTCTTTAATTGGTCTTATTTGATTTTATTATGTGTGATGATATGAATAGCTGCTTTGAAGAAAATGAGAGATTATGGTAGCCATTGCTGATTTCCTAGCATCTTGTTTTGAATCTCTGTCACGTTTTTGTTCTTCCATTTTGATTTGTGCTCTCCTGTTGTGTTTGATTTTTTTATGTGTGATGGTATGGACAACTTTTTTTTGAGGAAAATGAGATATTATATGGTGGTCATTGTTAATTTCCTGTTATCTAGGTTTGAAGTCCTGCAACACTTTCATTCTTTTGAATGGCTTTATACTATTTTGTTATGTTTGATATTATTGTGATTTTGTAATTTGATGATTATTGTGATATTGTAATTTGATATTATTGCGAATGAAGATATGGTCAACTATTTCAAAGAAAACGAGAGACATTATGGTAACCAGTGTTGATATCCTATTGTCTTGATGTGAAGCCCTGTGTTGCTTACATTGTTCTGTTCTGATTTGCTTTGTTCTGTTTTGTTTTATTCTCTTTAAAATAAAAAATTAGAAAAATAAAATATTATACTGAAATTCAGTATTTTGTAAAATTAATAGATATTAATAAAATATATTAAAATAATTTTTGAGGACATCTTTTTGGGGCCATTGCATATATCTGTTTAGTATGGTATTCTTTTGTATATATTGGTGGAAAGTTTGTCTCCTTTTTATACTTCTGGAATTTACTTTTTATTGTTATTAAGTATAGGACCCATTCATGTTTTGTAAAATAGGCTTTTATGATATAGAAGAAGTGATTTAATTTATTAGTCTTTTGTCACTGTTTATTCTGTTGTACTATGCCACTGAGATTTCAGAGTTTATCTATGACAAGAATTAGTGATAACCACATGGAGAATAATAAAATATCCTAGGAACAATATTCAGTGGAAAAGTTATAATACAAAGCATGTCTTAGTTACTTTTCTTGTTGTTAAGACAAAATACCTAACACTCAAAGTTAAAGGAAGAAAAGTTTATTTAGTTCACAGTTTGTAGAGGTTTCAGTTAATAGCTGGTTGGTGTCCTGGCAGGGTGACTTGACAGAGGGGCATCACAGAGGAAAAACAGTTCATAGTAGGCAGAAAGTAGAGGCAGGCAGGTAACAAGCAATAAGCAACAAGGGGTAACAGCAGCTTTTTTCTGTCCATTTATGCTGCATAACTACCCAGAATTATGCCAAACCAGTCAGTGGCCTAATTTAGTAACCACATGCCCTTAATTCCAGCATTACACACTCTGGATCCAATCACTTCTGACAAAGCTCACCTATGACAGCATGAGGCTTGGGGGTGGGGGGGCATCAGACACAAGCCGTAACATACCTCACTCTATTTTTGTGAATATATGTGTGCTCATAGAGAACTGGTTACTTACTTGCTTACCCAGTGGTAAGATGATTAGAAGTGACAACATAAATCAAAATATGGAACAAAGGACAATTAGCAGACATGGGTGGAACAGGAAGAATTTGTGCCATGTTGAGAGTGAAATGTTCATAGAAGCCCAAATGTATCAAGAAGATGAAAAGAACAGCTGGGAGATCTGGTGAGATAGCGATAGAGGAGCTGGCAGAACATTCAAAAGCATGAAAGGGATGGGTTTGAATTTCATCACTTAAAGGGAACAATTAAGGAAATGAACAGACCATGACCAGAACCTAGTCCAGGCCACGGTGACACTAAGAGCTTCAAACAGAATAGTTGCTCCCTTTCTAAAGCAGGAAAAAATGAGAAGAAACCATTGAATCTGCCTCTTACACAGGCTCAACAATTAGCAGCACAAAACATTGGAAGTCTTTGAGCTTCATATATTTCAGTATGTACATCACTGATAGTATCTTCTCTACTCATGAGGGACACACACACACACACACACACACACACACACACACACACACAGTTTGCAGTGTTAAAATGTGAAGCTGAAGACAGGCATCCTTTGAACCTGAAAATTTTATCACCCTCTAGCTTCTTTCCCTAATCCTAGAGAAATGTAGTCTATAATCCTTAGCTACTAGTAATTCCAGATTAATGCAAAATTATGCAAATAATGCTATTATACAAAATAGAAGAATTTGTTTAGAGTCAACATAGATAAAAAAGACAATGTAGAAAATTTAGTAAGGGTTGAGGGAGAGTTAAAGCATAAACATGTCAAAATTTGTGCAGGAAGAACATGTAGGAACCATTAGAGAGAGGCTGGGAGGTTTAGACATTTGGGTATTATAGACCTTTGGATATAGACATTATCGAGTATCAGAGTAAGAGTATGGGGTGCTGTTTGAAAGTGATAGCATAGTCAAAGAGGAATTCTTAATAAAATGATAAAATCTTAAAATAAGAATGTAAGAAATGGAGGTTACATAATACAGTAGCTTTCATGCTATGTTTTCCCAGGATCACCTGGACAAGATAAAAAGGAAAGCACAGTCAGGGCATGAAGACCCCCTTCTCCAGATAAGCTACAATGCTAAATAGTCTTCTTTTACATATTGAACAATTATGTAGTATGCCATTTTAACAGAAGTTCCCATGTGAGGGAGGAAATCTGGAATAATATTCCAATATTAATACATTTATTGTATAAAATTATGTAAAAGTCCCAGTGTTATCATCTTAGAAGAAAATTTTCTTCTTACAAATGATTCTTCCCAGGGCTCCCTTCATGTCTCTGTTCCTCAGGCTGTAGATGAAGGGGTTCAACATGGGAGCCACCACCGTGTACATCAGAGCCATGACGGTGTCCTTCACAGTGGAATTATTGGCTGATGGACATAAGTAGAGACCAATGATCGCTCCATAGAACAGCGACACCACAGAGAGGTGAGAGCCACAGGTGGAGAAGGCCTTATGGATACCTTGTGCAGAAGGAACCTTGAGGATGGAGTGCACGATTTGTGCATAGGAAACAATAATGAGGAGGAATGGAATGACGATAACTAGCCCTCCCATGATAAATATCACTAACTGATTAACATGAGTGTCAGAGCAGGCCAGCTTCAGTAGAGCTGATATCTCACAGAAAAAGTGATGGATTGTGTTGTGCCCACAGAAAGACAGTCTGGCCACAAGCAGAGTGTGCAACAGAGCATGGAACATAGTCAGCCCCCACGATAGTGCCACCAGGCACACACAGAGCTTGGGGCTCATGATGCTACCATAGTGGAGGGGGAAGCAGATGGCCACATAGCGGTCATAGGCCATGACCACAAGCAGAAAGCTCTCCAGATCTGCAAAAAACAGGAAGAAATACATTTGGGCCAAGCAACCTGCGTAAGGGATGGATGGGACTTGGCTCTGCATGTTCTTCAGCAACTTGGGCATTGTGACAGAGGAAAAGCAGAGGTCAGAGAAGGACAAGTTGCTGAGAAAAGAATACATGGGTGTGCGGAGATGGGAGTCCAGTTTTATGAGGATGATGATGAGGAGGTTCCCCAGGATGGTTGTGAGATACATGGTGAGGAACAGGATGTAGAACAGGATTTCATACTTGGACTGGATAGGCAGACCCAGAAGGATAAACTCAGAGAGGGAAGTTTGGTTTCTTTTCATCTTTATCTGTTTCCAGCTTCTTTAAGAGAAAACAGTAGTGTTGCTTAACAATCTAAATAAAAATAAACACATTTCTATAATACACAGTCTTATGGATTCTACATCATCAAAATAATTATAATCTCCCAACTCTAAATATTAATAATCTCTATAATCATTAATGACATTTTAATTTTGCTGTAACATAGTTCAATATTATATCTTTTCTAGATATTTTTATAGTGCTTCTGAGACATGAAATATGTACATTTTCTTCTTACCTGCTTGACCAATCACCCTAGGCAAGTGTAATTGGCATCTGTTTTAAACATCTTTTTTATTTTAAAGAAAAAATAAAAAAGTGGTGCAAAATTTCAAATGAGCTTGTAGGAGAATAACAATGGTTAGTACATTACATATTGTTATCTTAGTAATTGCTCGGGGCTGGGGATTTAGTTCAGCGGCATAAGCGCCTTCCTTGCAAGTGTGCAGTCGTGAGTTCAATCCCTGGTACCGATAAAAATGAAAAAGACAAAAAAAATAGTAATTGCTCATATTACAAGGTATAGGCATGAAAAATTGATCAAACAATATAGACACAAACTTTTTAATGGACTAATAGTAATTGGTAGTGTAAGTATTTTATCATATATATATATATATATATGATTTGCTTTTTTCCTTCCCTCTTTTCTCTTTCCCCCATTCATTCCAGTTTCTCTTTTCTTTTGGACAGTTTCTTTACATTTCACAGTGTCTATTGTACATTTTAGATCCTACTTACTTTTTAAGCTTCTTATTCTAGGGAGACAATAGGATGTTTACACATGCAATTCTCATTTATTTCACTTATGAACATAGTTTTAGGTTGCATCTATTTCCATATAAATGTCTCATTTATCCTTCTTTAATGTTGAGTAGTACTCCATTGTATAAACTGGGTTCTCATTTCATTAAAAAGCTTTTGCACATCAAAAGAAATCACCAACAGAGTGAAAAGAAAGCCCACTCATAGGGAACAAATTTTAGCCAATTGTCCCTCAGATAAAGGACTTCTATCTAGAACATATAAAGAATTGAAAAAAAGTCAGATTACCCCAAATTCAAAGATTCAATCCAAAAGTGGCCATCTGAGATACACACTTCTCAAGATGAAGAAATACAAATAGCAAATAAATATATGCAAAACTATTCAACATCATTGGTCATTCAAGAGATGTAAATTAAAACAACCCTGAGATTTCATCTTACTCCAGAAAGAATGGCTATCATCAAGAAATCAACCAGTAATAAATGGTGATGAGGCTGTGGGGATAAAGAAACCCTTCTCTGTTGGCAGTGTAGACTGGTGCAATCACTGTGGAAATCAATGTGGAGATTCCTCATAAAACTAGGATTAGTGATGCCATTCAATCCAGCTACTCACTTTCTGGATATTTTCCCAGGCGAATTAAGAATATAATATCACAGCAATAGCTGTATATCCTTGTTTATAACAGAACAATTTTTAATAGCTAAATCTTGGAAACAACACAAATGCCCATCAACTGAGGAATGGATAAAAATGAAGTTTTTTATTTTTATTTTTTTGAAGTTTTTTATTTTAAAGATAGTAAAATCCAACAAAACAGAACAAAGCCAATCAAAACAAAGTAGCAAAATTGGTATAGAACTTCAAAGCAGGATACTAAGAAAACAACAATAGCCACCATTGTATATCTTGTTATCGCCACAATAGTCCATTCCATCAGGTATAGCAAAATCAAACTGAAACAGAATAAAATCAATCAAAATAGAATACTGGATAAAGGAACTAATGTGGCCACCTTTTCCAGAATTGTGGAATGAATTAAATTCATGAACTGAGGTATGATTGTAGCACATGTAAATACTGCATCTGTGAAACTTGTAAGAGTATCAGAATGCGCTATTTTATATGTACTTTATGTGTTCAGAGAATCTGAAGTTCAGGAAATCGGTGGGGCAAAAGCTGTGCTTCTTTGTCTGACTGTGCCAGCTTCCACAGCCCCGTCTTGCCTCACAGTGACACTTGATTCCAGTCTGAAAGAAGGCAGACTCAAAAAGCCGTGATTTCTTGCCATCAGCATTTCAAGCTTGCTGCTCCTCCTTACCTATCAGCTTCTCCCTTCTCCTGTCTCTTCGCTTGGTTTGCTCTCACTTACCTTTCAGCTGTATTACATGGAGGTTGCTCAGCTGTCTTCCCATACCTGACGAGACCTTCCTGTATCTCCTTACAGCATTCTACACTTGTCTCATAGCACCCAATGCCCCGACCACTTGTTCACAGCTGACTTCCTTCTCAGATTGTGAACTCCACACAGACAAGGCCGTGTCTGACCTCATGGCTGCAGCAGCATGGAGCCTGAATGTGTTTTATAAATACTTGTTGGCTGTTCTTTGGGCCGAGACATATATTTGTTCAACTTGAAAGGCAGCAACATTTTGTTAAGCAGAAAAACTATTCAGATTCTCTCAACATATAAAGTACTATTTAGCAGCACATTTTGATGCTCTATTACAAGTTTCACAGATGCAGTATTTAGGAACAATAGTAAGGTGCCACACTTGCTATGATCATACCTCAGTTCATGCATTTAATTCATTCCACAATTCTGGAAAAGATGGCCACATTAATGGCCACATTTGTTTTGGAAAAGATGTCTGCACTCATGTTAGTTACCCAATGCAGAGTGCACAGACAACAACAAAATTTTGCCAGATGTTTGTTTGTGAACCTAATTGCAAACACAAGCACTCATGAACCAAGGTACCACTGTACTCTTTTCAGTGGTGGAGAGACTCAAACTGAGCATCCTCACACTCACTCCACATGTTCTCCTTGATATAATGTGGGAAAATAACTATGAGGACAGTTTCATAAACATGAAAAAAAAAAACAGAAAAAAGAAGCATAAATTTTATTTTTTTTATGTCTTTAGCTTTAAGCCTTTGCTTGTTTTCTCCCCTACTTGTCCATACCATACGTGATGGTTAATTTTATGTGCTGACTTGTCTAGATCCTGCGACCAAGTTTTTGTTAAATAACAATTCTAGATGTTGCCACGAAAGTATTTTATAATGTGGCTAACACTTAAATCAGTAGACTTTGTGTAAGAGATATTACTCTCCAATTCTCCACATTCTAGTGAGACTCTTTTTCAGTTGAAAAACTTAAAAGACTGCAGTGTCCTGAAAAATTCTGTCTCTAGACTGCTTTGGAACTGAAGCCTGCAATTCCCGCCCTTCCTTGGGACTCAAATTTGATGATGTGATCTATAAATATCAGATTTAGGAGGTTCTAATCTTGATTGGAGTTATTTCCTTAAAATAAATCACACACATGTGTGTACACACACATATGCACCAGGTTTGTTTTCTTTTTGACAACCCTATTGAATAAGCCTCAGTACATCTCAAAGCTAACAAAGAAAAAGAGAGAGGGACTAAGAGATGTAGGAGGCTTCCTACAAAGATACAGCTGAGTCCAGCTGCTGAGATTGCTGTGCTGCTGATGGTGTTTAACGTAGCTGCAGTAACAGCTTCGGCACTTGGATATTATGTGTTGGCATTATATCAGAGAGACAGGTATAGAGGAAATTATGTACCTGGTTTCTTTGAGTTTGCTTCCTCAGGAGTATGTGGAGGGAACAGGAATATGTGGAAGAATTGCAAACCAGAGTTGTCATCTGCAAATGTTTCCAAAGATGGTCCAGTGAACTTCTATCTTCTTCAGCTTTTAAGCTTAGGTTTCTCAACCTGACCAACGCATAAGAATCACCTTGGACAGTGTTTCTAATATTGAATATACATGCAAATGACCTAAGGATTATAGTAAAACACTGATTGTGATTCTATATTTCAGATTCTACATGTCAAATGGATCCCCAATACTGGACATCAATACTGTAATCAATGTACAGTTGAGTATCAAGCACATTCCAGCCATTAAAAATACAGATACTCCCACAGATACTCTTATAGATAGACCTAATCATAAGCTGAGAGGTGATATGTGCAAGACTTTTTAAAACTCTGTGGGTAAATTAAATTAAGAAAGCTTAAAAACTACTGTGTTGAGGGCCAGGGATACAGTTCAGTGGCACAGCACCAGCTTGGTAAGTGCAATGTCCTGAGCTCAAGTCACAGTGTAAAAAAACAAAAACAAAAACAAAAAACTCAACTGCATTGAACCCTACCCCACAGAGCCATTATATTGAAATGAGTCTTTTGAGAGTATATAGTACTGTAATATTAATGAATAATGTTATTAATAAAATATTATAATTGAGGGATAGCAATTAAAATATTTTTATAATGTGGAAAAGTCTCAGCAGAGAGATGGAAATGAGAAAAGTTAACACACCTGAAAAACTATCCTGCAGATCTTCGTACAATACTGGGAGACAAATACATTCAAATTGGCAGAACACTGAGACACAAACTTGTGTTGTCTAAGGGTGACTCCACGGTCCTGACTCAGGGTCTTGCTCTCCTTTATTTATAGGAAGTAACAGCTCCTGTAGTTATCACCTGTCTGCATCATCTCTTCTCACTTCTACCCTTGTAAGCCATTCCCAGGCCTAAGTGGCTCTGCATCCCAGAGGAACCAGATTCTGGAGGAACTCACTAAACACAAAATAATCACCCAAGACCTTTCCAGTATAAATTTTCTCAGAGTCCTGTAGCGGTGACAGATTGTAATCAGTCATCACATATCACCCTACTTTGGAGGAAGGTTGTGTGGAGAGAAGCTTATGGATGTATGTTTAATATTCACTGTTTAGGAAATGACAGGAAACCACATGGCTGGTGCCTGCATTTTGGGAAGTAGAGGAGAATGGTTGGAGAAAACAATAAATGTGAGCAGGGAGCAGCCTGAATGTTCTACCATAACATGGGAGTATGAATTTATGCTTTGTACTGTAGATGATAGGAAGCCATTAGTGGCTTTTAAGTAGAGAATCACCACAAAAGACACATGCGTTAGAAAGAGGGCTGGT